AGAGTGAGTGAGTGAGTGAGTGTATACAGCTACTCTTATGCTTCCTCTTAGCTCTCCTAGAGCGTCCTTTTCTCTTTTTTAAAAAGGAGAAACTTCTCTCCTATTTCAGACATCAAATCCTATCAGCTTCCAGGGAGCTACTATTGTGTATTTGTTATCTCATATTATGCAACTTGCGAAATTATACACTAATATGGAAATCATGGACAAAGACAACCAGCAACTTTATACCATAACCTACACAGGGCAGGAATTAACGCGTGCAGAAATCCAGAGGTTCCCATGGACCAATACCTCTTGCTGCTCCAGAGCCTGACCTATTAGTATGCTGGCAATCTTTAGTGACCAGTAAGTTTCATTAAGTTGAAGACGCTCAACTTTTCAGAGAAATAAAGTCTAAAGAAAGACTTTTTCATGATAAATGTCCTTCCTATCTGGAATTGGGTAAACTTGAGCGAAGTATTGGATTAATTCAATATGGGAAACTTTAAAAGGCAAAGAATTTCAGCACTTGCATCAGGAAATACAAAGTGATGATTCACAGCAACCGTAGCTCTGCCATACTATGTACACAATCAACAGAAGCACAAATTCATTTATCACATCCTAGTGCTTTTGCACGAAGAGGAGCATTATCACTCATTTGTGCTGAAAACCTTCAACGCACTTCAGCATTAACTATTTTCTCTTCTGAACAAGAAATATTTTATACAGTTTTTGTATCACAGAACACACTTACCAGCCAAGGCGCTTCCATTCGGCAATCCATTTGTTTTTTGTTTCTCCTAAAACAGATAATAATAGTCCAGAGAAAAAAAAGAAAGTATGTGACAAGAGATTTTCATATTTTGGGAAAGAACAAGGTCCATGCTCTATTTTATAGTTACTATTTCATTGCATTTACAAGATTTTCCTCATTTCCAGTACCAGACACTACTACAGTGCTCCTTAAAAACAAACCTTCACAAAGCAACAGCCACAGTGGGAAGTAGCAAAAAAGTAATTTGTAAGGTAACACTTTCTAAGTAGGCGAGGGGAATTAAGTTGCCATCAGTCACTCAGAATAACTTCTCTGCTACAACTCTTTGTAGAAGTAGCTGTGAAGAAGCTACTGTTGGCGGAAGATGAAATTTGCTCAGATGATGGGAGAAAACCCTAAGACGGAAAACAACTAGATGATGGTAGGTTGTACTTAACGAACATAGGCCAGATCAGGACACAAGTATCAAGGAAAAGGTTGGGTTTTTCTTCTCCTTCAACTACTTTGTATACATTTCTCAAGCTGATCTTTCAAAACCTGAATCCTACCATGGCCTGGAGCTGGTTATGGAAATACTCAGAAGACTACATAAAACATCCATCTCCTCATTGTGGGTATTAAAAAAAACAAAGCAAATTTACGATCAAAGGACATCATCTTGCTTATGAACTGAAGGATTCCTCTTTACACCTGGAATATTGGAAAGCCTTCCAAAATCCCTTAAGATTCGTACCTCCACAGAGGTCTTCCACAGTAAATAGATCATCTTTGAAACTTTCCAGTCAAGAGGAACTATATAATCATCTGGCAACAAGGATTCTGCAGAAGAAAATATTTTTTGCAGTTGAGTGTTCAGATCTCTCCACAGCCAAAATATACCACTGAATTACAATTTTTGCACACATTATATATATAGACCTTTTTTAAAATCAGCAGATATTTAGATGAGCAGCAGCAAAGTCAGAATTTAGGTTTTCTAGACTCTAAGGCCAGTGCACAGGAGGGGGAGGAGGGGCCTGAAGGAGATTTGGTTTTGGTTTCTTTTTTCTAGGCAAAGGCTTTCCTACCATACTTTCATTTCCCCGACAGACTTCCCTGAAACTAGGCACAAACAAGAAAAACAGAAAGTTTTCAGCCCATAAATTAAACAAAATGCAACTTAAGTAATAAACTTAAAATTTAAAAATGTTTAATTGTAGGAATTTGTGCAATGTCGCTAAAGAAATTACTTTCTAAAATGTTTTAACTCTAGCACTGTTTAAGAAGCTGAAAAGAGATTCTTTGTAGGAAAACAGTCTAAAAATATATTCTATGGTTACATGAGAATCATACAAGCAATTCAGTCAACTAAATCTTCAATTTATAAATAACCAAAGACATTTATTTACCAAAAATTTCCCCCTCAAAATATTTTCCATAAAAATTGACTGCAATTGCCAGTGTTGTAAAATACTACAGCTTAAATCTGTACATGAATAAATAGTAGCCTATCAATATATAATATATATAAAATTACAGTCAAATCAGAATGTGGCCAACCTTCTGCAGACAGCATGCACAATTTTGACGGAAAACCCCACCAAACAGCAATCACAAGCTGGCAGGGCTTCAGAGAGATATGGGGGTGGGTTTGTATTTCTTAAAGGTTGTTTCCAGAGGAAACTCATCTAAACACCAGAGAATTTCATGTGTTACTGACTCAGAGAAGAACGACATTTGGTTCACTTATCTGTTGAGTTTCTGAATGCCTGTTCTTGTTTTTTCCCAGCAGATCCCCATTTTCAAGTCATGGCCAACTCCATTCCCTCTTAGATGATGAAATTTAAGATCCCAGGTATGAAGACTCACCAAGTTTGGAGAAGAACGTTTTATATATAATAGTTGAGGACATGAGCAGCACTTCCCTGCTCTCTTTTAGCTCTATATGGCAAATCCTTAGGTGTGTGGTGCCAGACTTAGATAAAGCAGCACTGCAGGTCCTCTGGGGACCACACCAAATGTACTGGTACCAAGCCTAGTATGCTGCCAGTGGTTTGGCATCACTGTTCTGGCAGGCAGCATTGCCATCAACTTTTGCAATAAAAACAAAGAATCCCAAGGGCAGATTGGGCAGATAAACAGACATAAGCCGCTCCTTAGTTGTCATCTCAAAATTTTCATGTGAAAATGCATGCTTAACTTCAAATTCTACTGAAACAAACAGGTGCAAAGGTCTACGTGCTGAAAAAATGGTCTGTGTTTTTTAATCCTATTAGTTGGCCAAATCAAAGTTATTGTTTTTCTACAGGCTAAATTTGGACCAAAGAAGTTGCAGAACTTTATGCACAGGGAATGTGGCTCTCAGCAGGGACGTACACAGCAACATGTCCTAGGATGATTTCCAATCAAATGTTGGCCAGTTGTTGCTGGCTACAGCTCTGTACAGTTACATTAGCTTGCAGTAAATTTGGAAATCATGGTTGCCACACACAACTCCTTCGAGGACTGATCATCATACTTCTAACCACTAACTCAAAATGAGTAAACTGAAAGTACAAAAATATGACAATTGGAGCTCTGGAAGGCGAGTATACAACTGTGACACTTTTTAATCATGCATGATTAAAAAGGTATGCACTATCAGAAAATGCATCTTGTAATTTGATTTTCAACTTAAATTAGATTCTAGGAAAGTTTTTCAACAGTATCTAAGCCACATAAGGGTCTATGAAAAAATTACTAAATAAAGAAAAAGGACTGCTACTATATTAACCAGGTGGAATATAAAACCAAACATGCAACCTGTATATAAAAGCACACATTTTGTACCATGTTTTCATTTAGTGAAGATTTTAGGTAAAAAAAAAAAAAAAAAAAGACCAAAGCTGCAGTGATTCCTTTCAATAGAATTAATATTTGATTAATTGGTAGCTGAAATAAACCTGAGTATTTAATCATAGGGATTTGGGGTTTTTTGTTTGTTTTGGTTTTTGGGGGGTATTCTGGTGGTTGGTTGTTTGGGGTTTTGGGGATGTTGTGGTTCTTTTTTTTTTGGTTATTTTTTTATATAGGAGTAGTAAGAAGAGTATTACCCAGTGGAAGACCTGGAGAACCAAAGAGCTGCACAAGTTGAAAAGCAAATCCTAATGATAAGGGAAGTCCCAGAAAACTATATTTCTTATTCACATCTGGATTATCTTCATGTTGTGAGGCCTCTGCTGGCTCAGGGTCACCTGCTTCGTGCACATTTTCACCGCAGCTTGTCAATATACTAGAATCTTCTGGATATTCAGAAACAACTTTAACAGAAGACAAAATATCTGGTTGGCTATTTGTAACCTCCGAAGAAACTTGTTCACTTTCGCCCTCTTTTTTATCAACTACCTGTTGTTGCTTAAGAGTTCTAGCTTGCTCCTCCTTCGTCCTGGAAACGACACAAACCCTGCAGGAATATTTTGGCATAGGAGAAGATTGTCCCGAATGAATGTAAGAAATATCATGTAACAGAGCATCTGCATCCAGGGTGGGTAAGGAATAGGTTGCCTCGGTGCCACTGTAAGGTGCAGAATATTCCTGCAATGCACGGTTCTGCTCACGTTCCTCTCCACGGTCCTTGCTTAGAAAGCTCTTTTGCTCCACTTCTAAAACACTTTTTGGGGGAACATCATCTTTTCTTGGGACTTCCTTTCCTCCCTCTGTACTACCAGCAATCTGTCGTGGTAGATTAAACTTCGGTGCCAAGTTGACAATTCTTCTATACCTTTTCCTCTTTGATGTAATTGGTGCAGCGTCATTTCTTGGAACATTTACTTCACTCGAACACTGCACGAAGGTGGCCCTGGCTTCCACAAGGGAATCAAAGTGCACTTCACCAGCTGGAGATGCCGATAGACCTTCGCTTATTATATGACCAGCTTCCTCAGTTACTGTTACCTGATGGTTTTCCTTTACCAATCCTTCATTTGACTGATAGCAATTTAGCTGTGTTGAACTGTTCATGTGAGTCTGTTTAGGTTTCCTCATTTTGGGGGGTCTTTGTTCACTTACAAATTTATCCTCAGACCAAGAAGAGAGAGAAACTTGTGTATCAAAGCCCAGCTGCAATTCCTCAGTAGGTAAACTAACTGAAAAAAAAGCCCAGGCATTGGAGCTATTCTCTTCTGCTTTTAATGCACCTTTGTCCTCCGTGTTATCATCACGCACATTATCATGTAGGATTGAATTGTAACACCGAGAGATTTCTTTTTCTTCACCATTTACACTTAACAGCTTAGCTTCCATGTCAGGTTCACATGTAATTTGATATGATCCAAGTTTGTTTTCCATGCTTAACAGTGGCGTGTTATAATCTCCAGAGATGCCTTCTGTTTCCTGGATGGAATTTTTATCATTGCTTATTTTTAGGAAACTGCTTCTGCAAAGATTTTCTTTGTGCCTTTCATTTGTTTCCTCATCAACAAATGCATTTTTGGTTAGGTCTTCAGTAGAAAAAGGTTTTACATCTATTAGAAGTGAACTGTCACTTTCTACAGGCAATTCATTTTTCAATGCACTGTTCAACATCGTTGAGACCTCAGACACAGCAACGGGAAACCTTTCTCTTGAAACCACTGCAGCTTCTTTTAGGCTTTCATCATCACTATTAGGCTGCTCTTCACAAACTGTTACTGGATCCTCCGGACCTTCACTGAATGTACACAATAATTTGCTGTTTTCTTCTTCTGAATCATCCTCTTCGCTTTCTGATGTGTCCTGGTCATCTGGAACTGGATGATGAGCTGCTCTGCCTAACTTCTTCTTCATCATTTCTGTATGATTGCCTTTCATTTTTTTGTTTCTTCTTCGCTTTTTCCTCTGCTTTGCTTTTGTCAACAGGTGCCCAGGGTTCTCCTTTAAAAACGTCTCCCTGTGTGAAAATAAAAATAAACAAACGTAAAATAAAAATAGATTTCAGTAATAAGGTATTCGTGGTGTTCAATTTGAAGAACAGGTACTTTATGTTAATATGATGATCAAACACAGACCATCAGCTTTGCTAAATAATCTTAAATAAAACCTTCTACTGATTAAATAAATGTACACCTTACAATTCAGAACAAATCTTGAATATTTTAAACCAATTTAAATAAACATAGCTGCCATCTCATTAACTTAGTTTTACAAAAAGTATCACAAATCATTGCAAGACCAAACAACATGTTTCTGGATGTCTTTCTAAATGATGTTTGAATAATAGATACTAAAGAGCTACTGCTATTCTGAAATTTCATTAAATGTCATGCTGAGCAGAAAGGTACTAAGTGGAGGACGTAGTTAGAAAATTTCATCCCTTAATATTAAATGGGCTATACTTAGATAAGCTGGACTCAAATTCAAAACATACTAACCAAAAATCTGAATAATGTAAAGGTACAGTGACTACAGCAACTGTGATATTTACTGCTCAGTATAGTATGTGTGGACGTATACATATTTGGAAAAAATATTTAATATTTTATTAGCAACAAAATAATACACTACAGAAAAATTAACACAGTTGTAGGCAGTTATTTACAATTAATTTTGTAGCTCTTTTCAGAACGTCTGATTTTTTTTGTCTGCATTTCTCATTGAATTTAACAGATAGCAGCTCTAACAGTGACTTCTCTGAAATCTTGATGTTAGCCTGTCAGCCAGCTAACCCTGAAATGAACACACGTGGGAAAAACCTAGTCCAGAAATCTAACTTCTCCCTATGCAACAATTCAGAGAGAGAGAAGATTTTCAAAGCTAAGTTTGACTGATAAATCTTCATATCAAGGATCTGCTGCTTTTATGTAATTCTTCGCTTTTCTATAACTCTCTGTTCAGGATGGTACTTCACACAACACACTAAAGCAAACAAAGCAGTAGCTAGAAGAATTATAGGGTAAAATTAGTTATTTTCTGGGAATCATATGTAACAAACTGTTTTAAGTGCTGTATTCTGAAATTCTTAAGAGAGAACTTAAAAAAAAAAAAAAAAAAGGGTGACTGTGCATGCAGAGGGAAAGCCAGAGGCACTAGTAGGCAACCTGGGACCTAAAGGTCACCTATGGAAACCTACCCTTACCCTTTATTCATTCTTAAATTTATTCATTGTTAGTCTCATATAAATTCTTTCTAATTTGAACTCTACAAAGTAAACCCTCCTAATTATGTGAGTGTGAAGCACCTCAGCAGCCTTCTTGGCCTCAGTATAGCCACAAAATCACTTGACTGGAACAGGATTCAAAAGTCTTGGTGCCTTGATATTGCTGCAACAAGCACTACAGATCTGCGAAAAGATCTTGTTGGAAAGCACACAAATTTAATTGCCCTATAAAGGCATCCAGATGAGACATCCTACTAAGAAATGGCATTTCCTTCAAATTTTGGCATTTAAGTCCACATGGTGCTTTCCTCTGAGTAATAAAAACTGACTTCCCCTTTTCCAAATCAGTGTATTTTCAATACAACGCCCTATGGTTTAAGTGCAGATGTCTATACTGTAGATGCTTGAAGTTAGCCAAGACAAATTCCACCCCGAATTCTGTTCACAAATATGTCCCCTACTCAGCAACACGCCTCGCGTCTCCCCAAAAAAGAGACATGGGATGCCAGACAAATTTTTAGGATTTAATAGATCTTATTTGTCTATTGAATTAAATGATATAAAAGTGAAGCATCTGCCATGGTAGCTGGAGAGATTACTTTCTTACGTATAACCCAGATTTGCAGAAATCATACACTAATCATAGATTATGTCTTAAATCCTGACATTAACTTTCTTCTTTGGTGATGAAAATTCATGACTTGAAAGTGTTTTTAGAGGAGGAAATTCTCTGAAGTTTTCAGAAGCATAAAACCCCTTACCAGTGAAACAGAAAATAATGTCCCATTTTTAATAGTTTTTAATGGAGTGGGGAATAAAACATCAGGCCTGTGCACCAATTCCAAGAAGAATTTAGTATTGTACCTAAAGGCCCTTGTGCTGCCATAACAACTCTGCAGAAATGACAACCAAATGGCCAATGTCAGCACCGGCACAGGAAAGGAATGGACTTCTCCGGTTTTGGTACTGTAGCTATGCTCTTGCTTACCACTCACTTCTCCCAGATGTGAATTTGCGCTGCTGCTGCTGGAAGTGAACTTCTCTAATACTGATTCAAGTATGTTTCTGATGCCTAACTCCTGACACATCTGACAACGCTTTCGGGACAATGCTGACAGAAACTTTCTTAGGCTAGGATGCCGCATCAAAAGGTATTGTAGAACGTTGTAAAATGAGGGGGGGGGGAAGTCTCGGAGGTCAGCACATTTATTTCCTCTCCTCACCATTAATTCTGAATCAGGAAGGAAAACCACACTGGACAGGATTCACTTTAGAATGCAAGAACAGCAGAAATACATCCAACCAAATAATGGGAGAAGAACCTGGATGATCCAGAGAAACTAACAGCTATTATTGCATTGAAATTGTCGCATGTCAAAATAATAACGACTGCAAATGTTGGTCCAGGTTAATGATTTAGCATACCTGGATATGACCTTCAATAGTGACATTCAACAGTTCATAATAAATACAACAATGTCATTTCTATGCCTTGGAAACAGGGAGGTTTTATAGCAGTTCAGCAAAATTAGTTTTCTAAAGGTTTGGATTTCCTGAAGAACTGACTAAAGCAAAAAGGGAAGTGATGGACTACTGAATGCAGAATAATAAAATTTATTATTCTTCACTTTTCCAGGCAACTTCTGTTTTCCAACTGATTCTAAGAAAATACTACCCCAAAGAAACACTCTAATTCACCATGATGGCATAGCTAAAAATTTCCTGCTTGGGGTATACCCAGTATCATGTTAAGGTTTTTGCATTTCATGAAGCAAATTGTCTGCTAGTTTTCTTTAGTTTTATCTTAGTTCCTCCTCTTTTAGTCCACCTACATGCCTTTTGAGGAGTTTTCCTTATTGTAAAACCATACGGCACACAAACATTGAGAAAATTCAAGAACCAGCATGGAGATAGACTTCTCTTCTTTACAGGGGCATTTGCCAGTGAGTTGTTTTTAAACACACACAACACACGCAAAAGGGAAAAGAAAAAAGGTGCCGTTTCAGTTGATATTTAAATTTTGCTATATATTATGCATTAAAAAAAACTGGTTAGTAATAAACAGACCTGAAAAAATGTAATAGCATTTTTGTTGAAATGGGAATTCCTTTTCGGTAACACCACTTCAAAATTTCTCAGCCTAACGTTTAGACAATATTAAAAGCTTTTTGCCATAACTCTCTTACATGTGACTTCAAGGTTGTTACCTACTGCTCAAAATAGCACTGTCCAGCTTAACTGAGTCAGTGCTCAGATGACGCTCTTTACTGGAGAAACAAATGCACATTCATGATTGCCAAGGCAGAACATGCGAAGTAAATAATCTAATGAAGTTAGTCACATTTTGCTGGAAAATGGCAAAACCAGAAGAGAGTTAGTCAGTTGCAGCTATACAAACTTCAGCTCTAGCATACATCTAAGCTGATGTCTGCTTGATATAAAAAAATGCCTGCAGTCATTGCTGTAATAAAATATAGAGGAACCGATAAATTTAAAAAGCAATTCTATATGACATTTAGCAATGAGGTACATGCTCTTCCAGAAATGTATGTTATCATTAATCTCCAAAGTCTCTGGAGTGGGTTTTCAACATCAAAATTATAGTAGAGCTGCTTACATAAAATGGCGTTTACTGGGAAACACTTCACCTTCTCCACCTGGTAAGTCCAAGTGCATTGCTGAATTCCTTGTGACCTAACTTTACTTCAGCAACAAACAGAAATTGAAGTTATAATTTTGGAATAACAAAAAAAAGTCATGGTACCAGCCTTTTTGTTACCTATCTTGCATTTAATACTGAAATGAGTGATAAAGATCCAGTTCCTCAAAACCAAATGGAATATTGGTATTAGGTGATCAAGCAATTGGAAAAAAACACATGTAACAACTTGTCAGCATTATTGGGCTTCCTGAAAGGTGAAATTCCATTAAACAGCTGAGCATCCAACTTAGCACTTTATTGCTGCTGAAGAAACAGTCTTAGTCACCCATTCCTACTTTGTTCCAGCTGTTGCCCTTGCACTTCCACTACCTGTCTTTCGCTGGCTCTACCACCCTCCTTGTGGGTGGATTTACCTGCATCAAAAGAAAGCAAGTACTTGCTTTGTTGTTGAGCTGATTTAACTTACCAAAGCAAGAAGTAAAATAAGTGTCTAGCTAAGACAAAGGAAGTGGTTGGTGGGAGCAAGGTGACTACTTTCAGCAGCGTTAGGCTGCCTCACAGACCATCTTAAGGAAGTTCACCATAAATGATTTGTAAGAGATGTTTACACATTACAGTGTTGCAAGTTAATGCTCCCCACTCCAAATCAGTAAAGATTCTACTAATTGGATTGGATCTGAAGTAAATCAGTATTTATTATTCTTTTGTCTCTCAACAGCATTGCCAGTGGTGGCGAGATTTAAATACTCGCCTTCATAAAAGACGCTATTCTATCACAATGCTCAAAAGAGCTACTCCAATCTTTATCATTTCTACAGGATTGAAGTATATACAGTTCCGTGCAATGTATAATCAGCCATCAGGCTGCTGCCCTGTTATAGTCCAGACACAAGAGACATTGATCTAGAGAGTACACAGATAACAGCATACAATTGGTTTGATCAAAGCATACCTTTAGAAGCTGTTCATTTAATCAAATACATGGCAAAGTGCAACCACTTTACTTTTCAAAGTAAAAAACCAAACAACCAAATAAAAAACTCAACCAACCAACCAAAAAAAACAAGTTCCTGAGGTGCTAGTAACAGCAATTCAGTTTCAAACAACAGTCCATTCACTCCACAAGAAGTTT